TGAGTACAGGTCAAGCTCTGCGGTGAGAGGGTGCAGACGAGCGAACTCGATTTGGTTCTTCTCAGGCATGGCGCCGGAGTTTGTAGTGGTTTCACGTGTGTTAAGTCCTGAGTCAAACGCCGAACCTAAGCGCCCAGCATCGAACAACCATAACTTTACGGCCCGGTCGTAGCTAGAACAGTAGCTGTTCGTCACCCTCGTATTGGGCAGGGTTGGCTTGGTAAAAAGCACATAAAACTTGCCGAAGATCATATTCATTACAGTCCCTTTTCCGTGTCCTTGTCCATGTGGTTGTCCCTGTGGTTGTCCTTCTGGATCGGATGGAAGATTACTAGGTGTACCTGCTTTTGCCATTTGTTATTTTTTCCTCTCAATGCTTGATCTTATTCTGAAACATATTCAGACGAAGTGTCTCAGTGACAGGTTCCCCAATTTGAAGCACTACTGATACTCACCTCTTCACCACAACTGCTTCAAAGACTGAGCACTAGTTGAATAAGAGTATACCATGTTACTCATATCAAGTCTACTATCACCGGAGCTTTCGTTTGCTATCACTCTATTCCTAACCTACTAGTTTAATATTCGGTCTGTAGGTTTGTCTGTTTTTCTCATCATGCCCGTGGGCGTGACAAACAAAGATAGCTAAACTATTGGGAAAACAAGAAGCAACCGGTCTTCCGTTATCAAATCATCGTAATGTTGTGGTTCTCGGAACATCATCTTACTCATGGTCAGTACTGTATAGCATACCAATTAATACATTCGCAGCCATTTCACAAAATCGTCTCACTTGGAGAGCAGTATGGAGTTGGCGTGAGGGGAGCGCTACTGGACTGGTATACCCGTCTGCAGGAACTCAACAAATACATCTTTGATTGTTCACATCTCAGGCGACCATTTACTGGCTAAAGAGTCTTCGAGATCTCTTTTATAAACCAAATTGCTCTCTAAACCAATCCTTCTGTATACTAACGGAATATCGAGGCCATCGGGGCTGGGGCAATAAGCAAAGCATGAGGCCCATGGTCAGAGTAATTCACAGAAGCACTTAGCAGGACAGGTGATTACTGTGTGTGGCGACGGGAAGCGATGCAAACAGTCAACGGTGTTATAACCGAAAACCAAAAGAGGGAAAATCCCTGACTTTTAGGGCGAGAGGTTGGGGGTACTGTTATCAACGTTATGCTTTGGACTTGTATTCTTGACCGTTGGCGAGAGTGAATTTGCTTGAACAGGCTGAAAATTGATGGACACGAGCTCTTGTGAGTATCAACGGCAAGATTTCACCGGGCCTATATCATTGTTTGCATCTAGTTCGCGTATTTGCAAAAACTGGCTAAGAAGTCAGGGCATAAGTGGCTTAATAGTAAAACGGGCGCTGCTAGGATGTTGCAACCAAAATAGGCTGCCTAAATCAAGAACGGTCAGCATATCGATTCTCATTTCCAATGCGCGAGCAACTCAATGAACAACGAGAATACGGGTGAGATAGGCGATCCGTGAAAGCGGTGGAGTGTTGTCGAATGAATCAAAGGTAACATGCGGTATGTTAGAATTCGCTCAAAGGCTGCAAAGTACTACCCGCAAGTGAATTACAGCTGACGGGGCCTCTCGTTTGGACTTGCGTGCTGAAAGTGCTCGAAAGCGCAAGCTGAGATTTATCGCCTATTTCAGTAAATGCCAGCCCTTCTGTCAACTTATTTCGTCTGGTGTGTCAGTGGATTCTATCGATTCGAAGCAGTCGCGAAATACATTGTTGAATTGGGCGTCGGATTTCTCAACTGTGGATATTGTCAGGTTGTTGACTATAATCATCTTACAAGATACGCTTATGTTTTCGGTGAAACTACGTTATCACCTCGAAAAAGAGAGAAAATTTCAATTTGTGCCTTACTCAGTGTTCCCAAATCTCATTTCGGGTTGGCTAGCAAATTCGCCCATGAATCATAACGGTGTGATATCTATGTATGGTTTATCCCGTAAGAGAAAACTTGCCCAAGATCACACTTAGAGCTATGAAAAGTCTGTAAGAAAATGGCCTTCCAGATTCGACCCGGGTTTCCACAGAGCATTGCGGCCGGCAGAAAAGGTACCTAAAGCGCTATCCGAACGTAAAATTCTGAAGTATTGTAATTCTAACTAAGCAATTGCTCAATCATAACAACAATCTCAGACACAGCATAGGGCTTGACTTGGCTTCCAGAGGCACGCAGTTAGATTGCATCGATAGAGCTAGTCAAGAGCTATTAAGAGACTTGGTGGAATTCCCCCGCTAAGTCTCAGAATTTCGAGCTGTCATTTTCGAGACGTGACCGGAGCTGTGGTGGAGTAGGCAAACATTGCTGGGTTGTGGGACCGAATGATGGGGATTTGTCATCTCTTTTGCAGTTGATTATCATACAATGAAGACTTCTGCGTTTACCACAAGCGTTGAAAGGAAAACTGCTCGCAGGAAGCTCTCTACCACATGACATGTACATCGCCACTACTGGATTGATAGGCTGCATGGCCGGTTCTGTCGTTTCGAGGATCTAGCCACTGGCGCTTCCTGGACTGGTTCACCTAGAGAGACCTCGTCCATATCCATTTATGACGTTGCTCGACCAGTCCGTGTGGCAGGAGCCGGGAGAGAAGTTGTAGGCATACCCAAGTGATCTCCTTGAGTATCGGTTTTTGACGGAGTGAGGGCCTCTGTCATTTGTGCTTTTGGAACAGTCAACCGCGGACTAGATAGCAAGTCGATTCATAGGGATCGTTTTTACATCAAGGAACTCTGTAGGCTCCAAATCAAGGGTAGCTTCGCCAACCAGCACTGAAGTGAGATTTGTCTCCCATTTAGACTCCTTGAGCGAAGGGATCGGCCAAACACCGTACTTGGAGCAGCGTCAGCGAACTCAGAGTAAAATGCTACGTGCGTCCAAACACGTGTGCTTGTGATATTTAGTGCAGCGAAGTTTGACCAAAATGATGAATCTTCACTCTACTTTTTGAAAAGAATCACAGCCGATAGCGAAGGACAGTAAAGCAAGTGTTGGAATGCTTCACTTACCAACTTTCCCATAGGCGTAACAATTTCTGATCTCCACAATAACCTGCGGAAAAATTTATACGAGCTTCAAAAAAAAGTCACAAAACTTTGGAAACCCTAATATAACCACCACATGTGTACCCCTTATTTCCCTGGTTTGTTTCGTAATAGATTTCTGTCATAGAGCGTCAGCTTTGTTGAAGAGTACAGTTCTCAATTGTACGCTTTCCTCCCCTTGTGAGTGTATACTCTAGTTCGCTGCAGACGGTTGGGTGTGTCAGGCAGTATGAGTGTGTCACGCAGTCAAAGCCGTTATCTGCTTTCATTTTGGAGCGCGCTTGCGACAAAACATGTTAGAAAACGAGTAATACGAACGTTATGATACAGTCATATCATTCCCGCTTACAACGTGAGAACGGTTCGCACCGCCGCCAAACTCATCCGCCTGACACGCCCAACCGCCCGCAGCGAACTACACTATACATATCGGGAAGTTGTGCTTTTTAACAATATTTAAAAAAACTATTGACCAAACTTCACCGGGTTTTTACTGAAACTCTTTTTTCCAACCATCTGCTTTGGTTTTTATTGCGCTACATGCGGCATGGTTCAACAGTTAAAATATTAAACGCGTGTAAACTTGTGAATGGCTATCGACATGTCAAGACGGGAAAAGCGTCTGTCCACGAGAGCACCCACGGAGATTGTATCGAAGTACCCACAATCTACTAGCAGCTAATTTTCGTGTATGCACAGTGCAGAAAAGGTTTCCCCTTGGAAATGTTGTAGGAAAAACAGGAGCGAAGTTGAAAGGTGTGTGATTGTTCATATACACGGTTTAAATGTCAGTCTGAACAATTGTTCTCCCAAGACGACACCAGGCACCACATTTAATTGTTCAGGTGTGTTAGCAGCGCAAAATAGCAGGCCTAGCATTGGCCTCACTGATCTAAGTTATAAGTTTGCAGCTTGTTACCTCCGCTTTTCTGAACGTTAGAAATTCTGCGGTTCTACAAGCAGGCTACGTACTTGTAAAGGATACTGGAATACTTCGCGTCGTGAAGGCACTGGACTTCAGTTCGTCGCGAAGTCGGAGTGCCTTTGCTCAGATCTATCAGCCACCCTGATATGATTTTAGGCTGCGTTCATACATGAAGCAGAAATGCCGAACCACGGAATGTGCAGAACTGCGGAATTTGCAGACCTGCGGAATTGGGAGAACCGCGGAACTTGCAGAAAAGAAAATATGTCTATCGATTTCAAAAACCGCGGAATATGCAGAAGTGCGGAATGTGCAGAAATGCCGAAATGCAGAAATTCCGCTGGTGAGGCTAAGCGATCAATCCCTATCAAGTCACTGTCCGTCATTTCGGCATTTCTGCAAATTCCGCGGAATTGGGAGAAATGCGGTTTTTCAAATCGATACGTATACATTTCCTGTCTGCAATTTCGTCATTTCTGCAAGGTCGTCATGTATAAACGCGGCCTCATAGACTGAAGCTGGTATCCTATGTCCCACGCTCGCGTCTAGGATTTTGTTTCGGACATTTTCCTTCAAAATTATCCGCTTTTGCAGTGGAGTTGATTTGTTTTTTTATGAACTTCGATTGTAGAACCCTATGCGATGGTGGGGCTAATGTGAATATCCCCAACGCTAAAGGAGAGACTCCTCTTTACACTGCTGTCCGCCGTGGTGATGAACAAATTGTGCGCCAACTTCTTGCAGCTGGTGCAGATCCGTCCAAGAAAACTGACAAGGTACCTACTTTTCTCTTGTTCGAGAATCATATGTAAACCATGACTTACAATACAATTACAGAAACCATATATTCTGTTTACTCTATAACTTTATAATCCACCTTTTTCGCCAGTCCCTCTTTTTTTATATCGAGTGGGTGCCTCGTTAAGACAAGTGTGGTAATTAACTAAGCAAGAGAATCGGGTCGCTTTTAAAATGTAGTCTCGTTCGCTGCGGATGATGGAGCGTGTCAGCGCGGCAGCGTTTGGCGCTGGCACGGCACACCCCATCAACCCGTTTTTTTTTTCGGGCAAGAGACATTAGTGTTCGTATAAGGTTTTTAGACCAGTTCTCACTTACCCCCTTCAGCAGTTGATGGAGAACGGTCTGGCAGCACGCCAGACGCACTGACACGCCCCACCAGGGCAGCGAACAAGACTGCAAGAAAGTACTTTTTCTTGCGGTATCATTTGAACGTGTTATAGTTACGAGTACAACACTATCCTGAGGGTTATTCTCTAGGAATCCCTGTCTACTCCAACGAAGGACTGCTAAATATGTTAGATCACTTGCCCTCCTTTCAAAACATGTTGGCGTTACACCTGGATAAGGGCAGATGCTGTAGACGCGCAGGGAAATCCTATAAATATGGGATAACCAACCTTGTACGGGTGAAGTCCGGCATCCACAGGCAATAGCCATAGTAGAATAAGCTGAAATTGGACAATAGAATTGAAACCGTGATGTTATGCGGTATGTGGGATGCCTAAAGAGTGTAATAACGAGTAGTAAATAAGGCTATTGTATCAATTTCAGTGTTTCTCATTCTAGGGAGATGATGCCTTTTCAATTGCTACAGCTAAAGGTGGAGCACTTCTGCCACTTCTTAGTATGGATAAGTAAGTAATTTTTGTTTTTAGTAATTAATGTCTGCATTGTTTGATATCACTATTCTCGTTGGGGCATCGTTCATGAAGAAAATTGACGGTTTGACAGCTTATGATGCGACGTCATTTTTGGTAATTTCTCATCAACTGTGCCTTATATAAGTGTTGTGCAGTGGTTTGGGGAAGAATAGTACCGATTGTGACCCCAATCGGCACCATTGGAGTCAGCCTCTTGACCACTTTAGGGCTGGTACGAACTGTTCGCCGAACGCATTCAGTAGGCGGATGTAAGACTGAACTGTGCGCTGAACGCACTCGGTAGGCCTTTGTTAGGGTCAAAGCCAAAGTTTCTGCCTTGTTTCTCAGCGAATGATATTTTGAGTTACCAAGTAGTCCAGTTTTTGATTCGAGCTCTTCAACTATTGGATTTTCGTGGTAAGGATCCACCTATTCGTGAGGATCTGACATTACCGTCGGAATAAAAATCATCCGAATCTTATGCTTGAGTAGAAGTTGTCGTATCCTAGTTCTCCTATCTTTCCTTCTTATGACCAATTTAAGGCTGGCACGAACTGTTCGCCGAACGCATTCAGTGGAGTCTGTAGACTACGATCGCGCTTCAATCACTTCATCGGAGGCGATCTCATCTCAGCTTTTCGTAGACAAGTGAGCAAATTTTATCCTCGCAGAATGATCTCTGGTGACCCTAGTGCACGAAGTTTCAGTACCTGCTTTCTCGATGAATGGCAAATAAAGTATATAGAAACATGTTGACAGTTGTTTTCAGGGCTGAAAAATATCCAGAAGGCAAACCAGAGTCATGGACTGACTTGATATGGCCGCAGCCGAAGTTGATTAGAGTAAACGCGGCTAGTAAAGGATTTCCTTTCCCAAAAGACAACAGGTTGGTATTTATACATCTGTGGTTGCTTTCGAAGTATTTTGCAAACTTACTCGTTTCATTGTTTAGGTTGAAGATATATTTCTGCGATGCATCTAGTGGTTGTCCTCGCAGAATGATGCAAGCAATTCAGATCAGCGTCCCCCTACTATCGAATGTTGGGCTTGAGTTGGATTACCGTGGTCACAAGGTATTCCATTTTAATCCATACCTTTCCTTTTCGATGAATTTGATGTAAATGCATCCTCACTGCGAGAGACGACCAATTGGGGGGACATGAAATCATTTTGCTCAGACTGCTGACCACGATAACTCTCCGTTGGATGGTAAGGTGACATGCGGTATTTATGCTGATGGGCGTCCATCGGGGTCATATTCGCTGACTATCGATCCGCATGGTGTGGAAATTGTCGGAAGCGATTACTGTGGTGTTCGTTATGCCTTTGCAACTTTCGTGCAAGTAGTCCGGCTTCAGAAGTGAGTTTTGTTCGTTCTTCCGCTTTTTTTTGTATTTATTGCCAGCTTGTGGAGAGTTTGTTGGAATGCGTTCATACTTGGCGTCAGTCTTTTGAACGATTAAATAAGAATAGGTATCGTCTACTCCAGCTCAGGTGGTGTGAGGAAGTCCTCGAATATTCGTTCGTGATAAATTTTTACTCGAAAGTGTTCTCCTCTAGAATATTTCATTTCAAGGTTTGCTCTTCGTCGTACCAACGAAAATGGATCGCCAAGTGCAAGTGGCGGTTTTGCAAATGGGTGGATACAGCCGAGTGACTCAGCAACTGGTGGTCATGGTCTTGGGAGTGGTGATATGAATTCCTTGCATGATATAGAATTGCCTGGCTTAATGAAAAGTAAGAACCCAGGTTCTGTCCCCCTATTTTCCATCTTTGCAAAGGATTTTTTCAGACGAAGCTATTCCTTGTCTCACGGTACGAGATCAGCCTGACCGTCCATTCCGAGCTATATTCCAGGATTTTTCCGGTTGTCGTATTCTGAACACAGAAACGGTATTCAGCTGCTTTTGATGTTGTCGTCGTTCCGTGTAACTCATTTATTTGTTTAAGCTCCTTCAACTTGCCACTCGTCTATCATACTGTAAAGCTAACTTTCTGTTCGTGAATTTCGAAGTGCGTACAACGGATCGTTATCAACTACCTTATACAAATCGTGATTTATTCCACATGATGCAAGTCTGCGAAGAACTTTTTGTCACGGTAATCCGCTGAAATATTATTAGAAAATATTATCAGTCTTCTGTCAAGTAGTGTAGGGTGAATCGAGGAAAGACAACATTTTTACACAAATTTTTATGCTAAAACTAACGCTAGCCCTTATGAGAAAACCCAGTGCTTCAAGCGAATCAAAAATATATGGGAATCTCGACTTCTAAATACCGTATCATATGCTATCTAACCTTCGACGAATAACAAAGGCATGCGGAAACTATGCACCAAGTACTTGGAACTCTTTCTCATCAAATGCGGATGACGCTCCTTGGTGTCATGTCAGTATTCCGTGAAAGCCCATTTAGCAGCTCCTTCGCTAATTAAACTATTGTCCGGTGCAATGCACATCTGCGAATTCAAACTTGAAATCCATGAAGTGCCCTAACCTATTTCAAACCATCCTGAGAGAGCGCTCATAGTTTGCATCAGCGTTTTGAGCGTTTTGAGTGACTAGAACAGTATAGATATCGACCTAGCGTGCGGCAGCGTTTTGAGCGCACGCCAGGGTTTTTCAGCGACTACACGCGAAACGCTCAATGCCGCCGTACGCTCAAAATGCTCAGGTAGAGCTTGAGCGTAGCCTAAGAGCCATTGTTTCTTCGCCATGCTTTTAAAAAATAAGCTTCTGTGGCATTAGCTTCTTGATCCCACAAAAAAAACTGGAGGCTGTTGAAAAAGCTTGACACTCAGCTTGACACCCCTCTTTGTACTGCACACTGCACTTGTCTTAGTTTTGGTAATTAACAAAAATTGATTTCGTAAGAACTGAGCAGTGTCAAATTCGTTTATTTTTCACAAATGATGATGATGATGATGATGATGTAAAAGCATACCGAAGCTTTTGATCTTCTACGCGAAATTTAAATGGAGCCGGGCCCGATTCTATCGTCGCAAGGCAGGTCACGTCGCATGCACGTCGCGTACCTGCTAAGAAGAGTGAGAGTATTAGTCAATAATTACAACAGGAAATTAAGTAGGATAGGAAAGACGTAATAGGAGAAAAGATAACCAAAATAGGATGACCTCTTTCAAATTGTTGAAGGGATCGTCAACCCTTTAACAATTTGAACGCCGCGCAACAGATCTCGTACGCGGCGGCCGCCACGCCGCCGGCTCCGCCCATCGGCGCGACGACCCACTTATCGTCGACGTATAGTAATCGCCACAGCACGCGAAATTTAAATTCATATAATCCCGCCCTTGTGGAACAACCTGGCTATCTGTAGTATCGAGCTTTCTAATTTAACAGTTGTATTTCTTGAGAAGCTGCATTTCGCATCTTCTTAGTTTCCGGTGAGTGATAGTGTTTTTGCAGCTGGTACCCTCTCTTGACACGCAGTCCAACTACATTGATCCAAGTGCAGCTCGTGAGATCATTGAACACTTCTTGGATGACTTCCCTCTCAGCAAAACTGCTCACTTCGGTCCTAATCTCGCAAGCATACTTATTGCAAATAAAAATGGTTTGTGAATTATCGTTTTGTTTGAACCTTTCTAATGGATTTTCCTTTTCCTAACTGTGAGATTTCCAGTGCTTGCTGCAATTCAGCGTCGTGTACCAAAGATATTCTTATCTTCCCAAGTTGACGAAAAGAACTCTACATTGGTAAGGTCGTCAAACATTTTTTTTGCAAATACCCTACTTTTTGGATTGGTAAAAGCATTTAGTTGTCATCCGTACCCTCGTACGTTACGCTGTGCATCGAGGGAGGTTTTCCATTTGAAGCTGAGAGGCTGCTATCGCCCAGAGTTTCTGTTGTGCTAAAGTTCTCTACAGGTAATTCCTTTTAATATGCTATTTATCCAATGAATGTCATGGAACTTTTCTAGGAGACGATGGCTATTTATGTGCTGCTCCTGATTCTACAGCGAAAAAGGCTCTGTTAGCTGCCCGTTTGGGAGAAAAATGCAATGTACTAGGTAATTCCACTACTATTCTCGTGTAGAGCGTGCAGTGCTATCAGTTTTCAGCACGGGAAATTGGTAGTATTGCACGTTTTCAGTGACATTGATTGCTATCCCTCATCTCCTCTTCTGAAGTTGACCGTCGCTTTCTTGGCGGCATTTCTGCGGTTCTTTCCCCAGATTTATAGCTTGTCTGACAGCGGATTCTCACGGTCGTTGAGGGTGAGCAGGGCCTCCTACCCCTCTCCTGAAATTATGTTATTGTATTAACTCCTCAGTTATTTGTCTTATTCGTTAGGTACGATGGTTTGCGATCTCTCCACTGGTTGTGAAGCAATGCCGCCTTCACTCTCGTACATGTCACTGATGGCATCATTGGGTGTAGCCTGGAACGGTTCTTGTGATATGAAGAAGTTCGCCTTCCTACAACCTGCCATAGCTGCTCATCACCTGCTTATGGACGGGTAGGTTCTTTAATCGTGTTAGCATTCGGCATTAAATTGTTTTGTGATCAGCGATAAGCAGCTCTTATGAGGTATATTGATAGCTGCGTTATTATCTCAAAGGTTCAACCGTCAGGCTACGTTCATAAACTGGAGAGGAGAACAGGAGAATGCGCGCAAAGGAAAGTGAAGTGATCAATTTCGAAAATGCGCGGATCGTAGCTAGTACGCGAAGGAATTAGATGAGAATCGATTGAATCCGCCAGTTGGAAGTTTAGCATGATGAGGGAATCTGCGAATGGGATTCGATTTTCTCCCCTCTAACCCGCTGATACGAATTCTGTGTTCCGCGCAGGGTTTCTCGCACCGTAGAGTTCGCCCACAGCAGGGTATTCGGTCGCTGGAGGTGGGGGTGGGTCTTTTTTCGGTATGCTCTCCATGGCAAGTTTTCGGGGTAGTTTCCCAAGACGATTGGTCGGTTGTAGAACGGGTCGTACCGAGGAAAATTTGGCTGCACACATAGTTCCGCCCCTCCCCTACGTCAGGACCATGATTTTTGCATTTTTCTACTCTGCCACTCCTGTCAACTTTTTCTACTTTGCACCTTTTCTACTTATTCGCGCGTTCCCGTGTCTCCTGTTCATCAGTTTCGCAACACATGAGCGCTACATCACCGTTTAAAAGCAGTTTTTTTTGTATGTTATCGGTGGAAATGTTTTTTCATCGTTCATCACATTCAGAGATATGACTGCTCTGTTCGAGCAAGTAGCTACGTTAGGCCGTGTAGAACATGAGCTGACGAAGTTTTCCTGTGGCATCTGGCGTCCCCCTACTAGTAATGCTGCTGCATCTGAAGACGGAGAAGTGAGTTTTGTTAGCACTGAACTGTGACTCGTGTCGGAATCGCTTTATCTGTCCGAGTTTAGACGAGTGCTTTCACACAGAGTAAGAAGATGCCGATCTCGGTGTTTGTTGAGATGATACTGAATCCTGAAAACCTTAACCTTGAACGTCTTACACCAGTTATATTCAAGGTAACTTGTTGCTCTTGTTTTAGCAAGAGTTATGCTTTGAGGAAGATTAAAGCTGTCTTTTTCCAGAAAGCAAGGATCGAGTTACGACGCAGCTTAATGGCTCTGGATGCTGCTCGAAAGACTTTGCCATATAATTTCGAGTTGGCCTTGGTCCTTGCAGAAATTAAGTTGGTCACTGAGTTAATGGTGTTGACAAGCAGGTGAGTTAAATGTTTGCTTGTTTGCTTTTTTCATGGGTAATTCACTCAATAATGCGGTATTTAGGTTGGGTCAGGCTTTGTGCATGCACAGAACTAAGCCACCGCAAGGAAAGAACCGCGACGAAGTCTTCCACTATTCGCCTGGGCGAGTAGGAGTCGCTCATCTACCATTGACAGTACGAACGGATCTTGCTAATAGGTTGGTTCCCCTTGTATGACGAATTACACCCGCCAGGATGGTCCTTGCAGTGTGCGAGGCCATGGATCCGCAGCTGCAGTGGTGTATTACTTTCTACCACTATCTCCGCTGAAAAGTGCTCGGGAGCGAGATGTACACTTTACATCACCGCAATTGTCGGGTCGCAATCAGCGGCTCGCACCTGCGGCGTTTCCATCATTGGTTGCTCCCTCCCTAAATCGATCTTTACCCGATCGCCATTGGTAGAGCAACGAGGCCGAACGCCCATTTGGACCGCGTTGCACAGCCGCCCTCCGACAGTCCGCAATGATGAGGACTGTAGTGTAGTGGTACTCGAATGCCGTTTCCATACTCCGTCCGCTAATGTGCATAACGTGCGTTGATGCCGTCGATCCCGTGACGAAATACGTTCTGCGAAGAGAGGAGAACAGAAATGACAGGGCGCAGACAACGAGAAGTAACAGGTTCGGCTATAGCTAGGCGCGTGGATGGTCGTGCAGCAGCACTAGGCGGAGTATGAAGTCAGCGCCTGAGTATCACCGAAATCCTGTTGCCGTGCTTTGTTGAGTTGAGCGTGGTGATTGGCACGCCACTGTAACTACGGACCCGTTTTCCCCAAACTTGGCAAGGACCAGGATACAAAGAGGTGACAGGAGCTACTGCCGCAGTTAGTCTTGAAACTAGTATCCAAAAGGACAGTTTGAAGAGAGCAGTAGGACTGAATCGCCCAGACTGAGGCAGCTATACCTTCAACCAGGATTATGTCTGAGCACTCCTGACCTTGGGCACCCGGCAAAACTGTTAGAGCGGTGCTGGAATGTCTTTTCACAACTACTAGGTTTTGCTTTATTGAACTTCCATTTGTTACGGTCTCACAAGGGGACCCCAACAGGTTGATCTGGCGTCATTTTACATTGATATGTACTAATACGAAAAAAATCACGTATATATGTACTATATGTGGACGGGTCTTGAGCCGCTGAACCCAAATCTGCCCTCCGATTTTGCGGAACGATTTTCCGAAGGGAATTACGGGCCATTTAATCTTTGCTGTGTTTGCACAAGCTGACCAGGAAAGGCCAATACATCAGCTCGTCCATTTGCAACGGCATGTACATCATTGTACTCGCCATGACGCGATGAACTCAAGACTATCTTCAAAATTTGCAGAACGCTTCTCTGAGCGGAGTTATGGAAGTTTTTCTGTATTGTTTTTCTTCTTCCGGGCTCGCCAGCTTCAAAGCGTTAGCACCTGTAGCGCAACTCACAGCCGCTCCTCTCACGCAAACCAGGTATCGATATGTCACGTGGTTCCAGCAGGTCAAATAAGCCCTAGAGAGTTACGCCGGCCACTGGCCCAAAACCAGCGGAATGCCGAGGTTCTAACTCATTTTCGAGAAAATGGGTTATGAATAGCTGTGGCTGACTGATAGCCAAAGCGATACTACGACTAGCATACGGGTGATGACTGGTCTTCAAACTGAAAATACCTACTTCATCGTGCCCCTTTTCGTCGGATCGTTAACCAAGAAACACAGCGTCGGCTTTTTATGTCGCTGCGTCTGCTTGCATTGTCGGCCCTCTTTAGCGCGCACGATGCGGAGTTCATGCTCTATATATCTTCTTATTCATTGTGCAGGTTGGAGCTCCCCCTCTGGCTTCTGAATTACCCATGAAACTAACAGCACTATTTTTCCGAAGTTCGGTCGAAATATCAGATTCGGCTAGAAACTTGTCTCCAGGGGTAGTTTGACTCGCTGAACATGAATATGATGGTATTTCACTGCAAAAACCCTGTGACATGCGGTTATACTCATAATAAAAAAGTTTTCAAGAATAACCACACATGGGGAATCGCCCGCCTTCCGTTGGCAAATAATCAAGAAACCAGGTGAAATGGCCAAACAGAAATTTGGGAGGGCTCATACCAAGTGTTTTGAATGAAAAGCAAAAGGTTGCAAGAGCCAAGGATTCCAACATTCGACATCGTGTCTCTGAAGCAATGCATTTATCCACTAGGCCATCGGCGGCTTGTCGCTTGCAGTTATCCTTCTCAACTTGTGCAGACGGAGCGAAGATTAAATGGTCCGTAACTCCCTTTGGAGAATCGTTCCGCAATAGGCGTTCGGATTCAGCGGTTCAAGACACGTCCATATTTTACTCTCAAGGCAAATGCCGAATCGACCTGTGGGTTCCTTTGTCCGACCGCTTGAACGAAGAGCTAGTGCAGAGTTCCTTGTGGAGGAGTGCGAAACGCCCTGCAGATGTCTTTTAGGATCTAAGTCTGGAAATTTCTATGGGAATGGGATAATGAAAATGGCATGAGGAAGGAACCCCAGCAATCGGTGAGGACTCTCCGAGCAACCCAGCAGATGATGATATTCGACAATGAGGACTCGAAAGTGGCTTGAAAGGGCCAATAATCAAGTAGTAGTGACAGATAGATTGGATCTTTTCCCTCGTTATCTTTTTTTGGGATACTAATGACTGACTTAACATTCAAATAAATAAATATCATTGTTCTACGTTTGCTGCTGAATAACAGATTGCATAGGCATTTTATTCTCATTTTAATACTGATACCATCAAAATGCATAGGCATTTTATTCTCATTTTAATACTGATACCTTCTAGAAGTGTTCTGAGCATCTCAGTGGCGATTATGAGGTAAAATAGGTGGAAGTAGGTAACAGCTCGAAACGGAGGTTAGACGAACTGTAGGGGTTGGCACAAATATCGTGTCGCTGATCAGTATCATAGGTTTGCTGTGGTGCGCGTAGTAATGGATGCCAGCCAAACTGCTTTAAAAAATAGGTTAAAGTTATCACAAGAATGCTGAGTTATGGGCAAAAGTCGGACCACGGACGGGATTCGCATCTTCTGCTTACCGGGCAGTTGCGTTCCCTATTACGCTACCGAGGCCACTTTTGACCACTCAGCTCAATGGCTATTTGTGCCATAGCCTTATGTGCTTCTCTGTGCTGTAAGGCTATGGCACAAATAGCCATTGAGCTGAGTGGTCAAAAGTGGCCTCGGTAGCGTAATAGGGAACGCAACTGCCCGGTAAGCAGAAGATGCGGGTTCGAATCCCGTCCGTGGTCCGACTTTTGCCCATAACTCAGCATTCTTGTGATAGCTTTCGGATCGCGTACTGCGGCGTTAAACAGCAGTTATCAAACAATAACAGCTTGAAAGGTTAAAGTCTTCCCCGTAATCAATCCCTTTTTGGAATGCGGCACTCATTTTAATTCCATTCAGAATCGTAGTGGCTTACTTGAATGCGATGTGGCCTATACAATGACTTGCGGGGCCAGCCGATGTACAAGTCAGTGTTTTATCCTCCCAGACGAATCTGGTACCAATTTACCGTCCCCGGAGGGTAGAAGGCTTGGTTGGCCTGGGCAGGTGTCGATTCCCGCCCAGTCCAATCGAAGCTTTCTACCGGTCTGGTCGGTCCAGGATTTGATCCCGGACCGCACACTCGTATAGTGTTGAATATCCAAACTACTTAATTATGCATTATTTTTATAGTTTGCTCGAAATTCGCACTCAGTTCCAACATGTGTGGCTGTCACGGTCGATTCCAAGTACACTACCCAACGCGCTGAAAATGTTTGACAATCTCTTCCGGTAAGCGTTATAGAATAATTCTTTTTTTTGAATCGCGCACGTATTTTGTTTTACAGAGCCCTTCTGCCACCGGATCTGCAGGAAGTAGGGAAACAATTGCTTTGATGCAGAAATACTTTGAAGAGTATGTGTCTCAGAATTTTGGTTATACATTCTTTGGTTGTGGAATTTGCGTTATTCCTGGGTTTCTGTGACCATGTAACAATCACATAATCATAGCAAAATGTATTGCGCTTTAGTATTTATTGCTAGACGGTATTGTACTATAGTTATAAAATAACAGTTCCTTGATTAATACAAAGTGTTTAGTCGTAGATTGTCTGCTTTTAGTGCCTTCCAGAGTTTTAATGAGTTTTCTGTGATCTGTTGCTTTTGAGATGTGCCTGTGTAGTGTCCAGTCATTTAGTAATTTATTGGTTATTCGTTTAAATCTGTGATACGTGGAGTCGGGCTGGGAAGTATAGCCATTTTCGCAAATAAATTGTTCTGTCTGAGGTTTATTCGAAGGAAAATGACTTTTATTGTCACGGTTATTTATTAAGTGATATTATGACCCGCCATAACCCATTGTGCTTCTGTAGATGTCTTTCGAACAGATGAGGGAACACTTGCACAACGCAATTCAAGGCGTGAACAGGTGACTATCTTTGAATCGTTTTATAAATTTAAGAATAAACTAAGAAAATTACCTAGTCGAGACGTTGGAGTAGTTTCAAGCCAAGTAAAATGGTTGGAAGAAATAGGCGGAGTTCTCGTCGTTCAGTACTGTCTTGCTCGACCCTTGATTAAGGCTGGTCACTCCTGCCTTCAAGAGAAATCTCCGTTAAACACCCCCCCCCCCCTCACCTCTCCATAGACCTTCACCTTCTGTGGGAAACGGCTATGGCGCACTTGAGACAGCAAAAACGAGGAAAGCCAACAGATGAGATCATCTCTGCAAAGGCAAATACGATCTCTCGTTAGGGATCCCCAGAGACGTACCTGCACCCTCTCGTTCGAGGGCCGAAGTTGCTCCGATGTTCGGAGTAGCTCTTGTAGGCAGGCTGAGTTTGTTTGGAAGACGAGACGTCTTTGTTGGCCCTACTGTATCGTCGAACGGTTCTGTGTACAATGAGAACGTGCTTTCAAAAAAAGCCTGGATTGTTGTTTTACCTTTAGCCCAGAAACGAATAAATTTTGTCATTGTTGGGCTATTGCCACCTCAAAATATTGAATCTTTTCCGTGAAACTTTCAAATCAAAGGTAATCCAGTGATCACGACGTTCGTTTCCGGCTACATTTTCGTGTTTTAACCCCTCTTCCACTAAATTCAATATGAACTTTCATACGGGGACTTCTGATTACGAATATAAAATCTTGACGCTGGCGCCAGTAGACCTCAACTTGGGCTAACGACCTCTGTCTCGCAGTCCAGTTAACTTGTACGCGGAGTTGTTTGGCGCTGACCTATGAACATAGCCTTCTCTCTTGTCGCGTGTGCCAGAAGTGGTGCATCCTTTCTTTGTCAGTCCATTCGTTTCGCCGAAACTGATACAAACTTGCATACCTGGGATGTTTTGTATCCTGATGACAAAAATAACATCTGCTTCTGCTACTGTGGGCGGGGAGACTTTGGTACGCTTGTTTGCTGGGCGCACCCCCGGGATTTCTCACCAAAATCTTTTTACAATTTGCTGCTTAGCATGGACGTGGATTTATTTTTCGGACCTGTGATCGCTTCCAGCGGCCGGCCAAGCTCGAGGTGAGGGATCCCTCTCTTGTTTTGCGAAATGCCATAGGCAGCAGGGCGCAGAAAAGTTCGCAGCCCACCACTCCCACCCTGAGCGACGCGACAATGAGTGCCATAGTTTGTGATCAAGGCATTGAATAACCAACCCCCACGCCTCACGAGTTCCAATGATTCCCAACATTTCGAGTTAGGTCAGTATCTGCGAGAAGTACGTCAAATTTCTTGTTATGCCCTGAGGAAAATCTCCGGGATGGGTGAATCACTCTTCACTGAATGTTGACTTTGAAGACCTGCAGTCCGTAAGAGACCAACAGGGGCACGCTCATGATTGGTAGAGTGCCCAATCCAGTGAATGATCGTTTGAAATGGTCAGTGTTTATTTGAGGCTTTTTCCAGTCAGTCCAATAAATATTATTCCTAGTGCATTTATCAGTTTACAGGGAAAGTACCACAGTTAGTCGATTTCGGGTTCAAGGACCATAGAAATGGGTGCTTTTACATCATACGCAAACTAGGTTAATAAGGCCGCGTTCATACCGTGCGACGTCGACGTCAACGTCGACGAAAGCTGCGTAAGTTGCGTAAGCTGCGACTGGTTCGTGAATAATACATACGTATCGATCCAACGAAAGCTGCGTAAGTTGCGTAAGCTGCGTAAGTTGCGTAACCGACGACAGCTAACCGATCGATACGTATCTATTCTTCTCGAAGTTGTCGTCGGTTACGCAACTTACGCAGCTTACGCAAATTACGCAGCTTACGCAACTTACGCAGCTTACGAACTTACGCAACTTACGCAGCTTTCTTTGGATCGATACGTATGTGTTCTTCAGTCGCAACTTACGCAGCTTACGCAACTTACGCAACTTACGCAACTTACGCAAAAGACGTCGCACGGTATGAACGCGGCTAATAAGAAGGATAGTTAACCGCGTTATGGCATCCCATCTTTGATGCCACGCTGCCAACCTAAGTTTAATCTACTGATATGATTAGAAATTTTATCTTCTTCTAAGGAGCTTTTCACTCGGCCAGCTATTTTGCGACAGGAACCTACTCTCCCTGCTATTTTGCGACAGGAATCCTACTCTTCTGAGTAGAGAGACCGAATGGTCAAGTAGGTCTCTCAACTTGGAATCGGTCAGACGTTTAGGTCAACCTTTGTAGACCTTACCGTTCTGATCAATAAATTTTTCGCATTTTGGTCCTCATAACATACCGCTTACCATGGCATACCTCATCCCAAAATCCAGAATTATGAGCGGCATATATTGATCAGTATGTAAAAATCTACCTTAAAAGCAGTTGGTACGATAATTCTGTACTCGGCCTAAATGCTCCATATAGTGGGGAAAAGGAGAAAGAACGGAGTGAAATGGTCAAAATCCCACAAAGAAACAGCCTTCGTTCTTAATGACTTAAAAATCAATTTCGGACGAGTTCCCCTTAGGCATCTTGCCAATACCGCTACCGAAGATACGGCTGCATATGTGTACCATATATGCATGCAGCATCACGGCCGCTTCATACCAATCCCTTCGCTTCATAATTTGCTTAGCAAATGAATACGAGCGTCAGGAACGGTCGTCCATTTGTGGGCGGGCGGGCGTGGTGGGCGTTTGGGTCGTCGCTCGATAGGGCCCTTATAAGTAGACCTTGCTTGGAAGGGGCGCTGCGCAGCGCCTTCTTAGGGCCGCGGAATCCCGTCCTGCCAGGCGTATTAATCCTACTCTCTTTAGACACTTTGCCAACTGCCTTTAATCAGGGTTCATCAGTACCGAGACCAGACAAGATGAAGTGCCCATGAATGCGAATTGCAAAAATTCAAGCAAATGACATGTGTTCTTGTTTAATAAGGAGTTGTTTAGGTATAATCCTGAAAATGTTGGCGACCTGGCTCGATGCGTTCAAGCAATGGCTACAGAGAACGAATACGATCGGGACATTGTTCTTACTATACTCAAACTATACCAGCTTAATCCAGACAAGTGATTATTCTACGATTACAAGCGTATAGTATTTACAAAGATTCTGAATACATCTGTATTTTATTGAAGATTTGATGAAAGCGTGGTTCGCTTGGTTCTTCTGAAAACGTTGATGGTTTTGCCGGGAAGCGACTTTGCACTTGCGAAGTGCCTCATCGATTCAAACCGATTAGGATCACAGGTTCTTTTTTCGCCAATCTATTTTTCCATGTGTCAAGCTCAGTCTCGAATTCCGTACTATTTTGCATTAAAAGAGACCCTCCGCCACCGCTAGCTGTCAAAGTCTTAATAGGAGGTACCACAATATAGTCCTAAATTGTTTAGGAACTGAAGCGAGTTCTGGATCTTGGAAGCGTACTTGAGGCTTGTGATTTCGCCGTTTTCTGGTCACTCATGAAAGGAGAATATAAGGTGACATTGTGATTCCCTGCTTTCTTGTATGTTGTTTCTTGTCTTTCCATGCTTCATCGTCTACACTTTCAGCCAAGCACAGACATTACTGAACCTTTCAAAATTCCACAAGAAGTACCTCGTATGGTCAAAGCTGTAGCTGGTTTCGAAGAAGCAGTCCGTATTTGTACGTGAAGTTTATGCCATTGTTCTAGCGAGAAACAGCGTGATTACTGATTTTGTAGATGCCTGCAGAGTAATCAGTGTAACATTCCAAAACATTGAGAAATCGGTTCTGAGCCGGTTACTTGGCGGTGCCACAGGTAATCATTTTTTTGCTGCACCCGTCTTCTTCTATATTGCTCGTTGAAGTGTCGCTCAAACCAATCCTTTTCTTCAGACAAGCAGGTTGCTGGATATGCAAAGAAGTTTGGATGGGAAGAAAAGCCGGATGGTATCTATTTCATCGCAAATCATGAAGCAACAATCCGCACTAGGAACATTGACGAGAAATTGCAATTTACCAGTGCGTTTTGTTTCTTTTCTTTTTTGTAACTCCTCTCATGATTACACCGTAACTACTACTATAGTTAGAGGCAAGTCCCACGATCAACGACAGTCCCCGCGCTCCAGCTAATTCTCAGGCGTCCTTCCTTGTCCAAGTAGTTTGGTCCGTTGAGATCGGTTCTCAGAGGCCAACTACTTGAACAAGGAAGAAAGAAGATGAGAGAGAGAGCAGCATAAATCGCAGTAAGTAATAAAGGCGCCGCGGCCCTTATAAGTGACAGTTTTGACTCCTCCATTGTTCCGCCTACCGAAACTCATTTTATAACGAGTTCAGTTTTTGCATCACGTTTTCGCTTTTTTCCGCTGTTAGATGGTAATATTAGCGCTAAACGACGCGAAGAAACGAATGGTGAGCTGTAGCTGTGAGAAGATATCGTTTTACTTACTTAGGCTGCGTTATACTTGGCGGCCAGCGTAGCTAGCGCTTCCACGCGTAACGGCCAGCGCAGTGTCGGGGACAAGAATACGATATCGATCTGAGTTTCCAGCGTGCTTACCTCCGTAAGCCCAGCGGCGCCTAAATTCCAATCCACACCCATCCGCCTCACGACCAGCGTGCGCGCGAGGCGGCATAGCGCACGCTGGCGTAGCTGAGGGTACGGGAAGCATAGCGCTATGCGATCTATGGTTGGCTGAGTCCATCGCGCTGGAGAAACGCTGGTGAAGCTAGATCGATAGCTATGCTTCCCGTGCCCTCGCTACGCCAGCGTGCGCTAGCGGCACGCTAGCGTACGCTGGTGACGCTGGGAACGCTAGATCGATATCTATCCTTTCCCCGACACTGCCGCTGGCGTACGCTGGAAGCGCTACGCTACGCTGCCGCAAAGTATAAACGCAGCCTTCACCTAGATTACTGACGGCCAGAGAGCAGAGGAGGGCGGCCCAGCGGTCGTTTCTTATTACGCGGGTACCATCGTATGATCGCGGAACTCCATGTTCCGCCACTTCTCCTCATCACATGTCCAGCAAATCGATGTTTTGCTTCGTCAGTGTGAAGTTAAATGTCCTTCGTTTTCATAAGGCTGACGTGCTGAATTGTGAAGTTTCAGTCTCCGGTTGACTGGCTTAAGCATCAGGCGCTAACGGCGCTCAATTGATGCTTGGGCAGATTTTGACCGTCAATCGTGCGCTTTCGTTAGGGCTCAAGGTTTCACCCGCTTAGCTTAGTGCAGGCAACACTCTTCTATTAAGAAGTCTTCACGAAGTTTGTGATTCTTAGAATCTTCAACGACGTTGGTATCTTCAACGACGCTCTATAGAGTTGAATGCTGCCCATCCAGGTTGTTCCCTTAATTAGCTCTCGATTAAGTCATTCGCTCATGTTTACTTGATACATGTTTACTACCCAACGTCATCAAATGGGGCCCCTCCTTTCAAGATTACGTTCGCCGCACCTTGTGAATGGTTCGCGCACGACTTTCGTCTTTGAGGTTTTTTATTGTTAAACCGTACTGCCTCCCTTCTTGGTACAGACGATTCCAGCATCTCGGAAGCTTCTTCTGGCGAGCAAGTAATCAGCACAATGTCACCGGCGAATCGAAGATGGTTAGGAAGGGTACCGTCGATGTTCATTCCTAAGTTGGTCTAATCGCAACAGCGTATAACGCATTCCAAACACGCGGAGAACAGATTGGGTGAGATAGGGTCACCTTGTAAGCTTTTCTGAATATGAGCGACTACCACGTCTTTAAAAAAAAATGGTCGGAACTGGTTGAGTACTGTGTAAATTGCTCTCCCCAATTCCTTGCTCTACCTAGCGCTTCCAGCAGAACTTTCATTGGATCTACCAAATCGAACGTCTTCTTGTAGTTTACGAATGTGAGTAAGAGGAAGCGTGTGGCAAAGCTTGAGCTGCTTCTGTTAAACGCCGGCAAGTCGCGATATGGTCGAACGCGCTGAAATTTGGACAGATTCCATTGGATTTGGACAGAAGCGTGACTCCAAGTGACTTTCCCAGGTAGAATATCGCTCTCTTTTTTCAGGCAAGCGCTCGGATGAAGCCGGTTAATCTTCGGTTTGTTGAGTAATTCTTCGTAAGTATCGTCCAATCTTTCGAGCGATTCCTCGCCGCAGTCCTGCTGCTGTTTTGCGCATGCAACACTCCTCCGTGAGGGCAATGTATTGCATTGAAGGCACGCGCATCGTACGCATCAGGCCGCTCCGGATCAAGAAGCTGAAATCGTTGCTCGAAAAGGCGTGGTCGCTTACGCGGATTGAAGGGGGAACGACATCGGGCTATCTGTTGCGGCTCTTCTAGTGCACAGTTGTAATGGTCAGATGTTCATGAAAGTGCTGCGCCTCCCGCAATCAAAGAGACGTAGTCCATCATCATGACAGCCGCTTCTAGAAACTGCTCTTTAGGACTTACTCCACGCGGGGCGTGGAGGATAAAAGACCAAAGATGGTGCGATTCGCAAAAATTTGCCAGCCTTTCTCCTGCTTCATTGCGCTGTTCAGCCGAATGAGGAGACCGATGAAGAATTCATCAACCTTCCGCGATCCAATTTGGGCGTTGAAATCGCGTATCACTACGATAATGCGCTTTTCTGGCTGGTGTACGAAGCTCTTCGAGTTGTGCATAGTAAGTTGTGATGCTTCTTCTCGCAGTTCGGCTGTGGCGCGTATACTTGTATAGGCGACCTGATACAATCCTTGGAGGATAGCTGGCGTTAGGCAAAGCGATCCACACCGGTCGACCCGTAAAACGTCGGCAACGTGACACTTCGTACATGCTCGCTGAAGTCTGGTGACACGATGAAGCCAACGCCTCCTGAAGTTGAATTGTGCTTGCGGGCTCCTAGATATACTGCCGTTCCATCCATCCACGTGCATGTTAGCGATTCCTTCCTCTTCGTCTCGCTAAGTCCCGATTACATGATACTTAATCCGTTGAGCTTCATCAATGAGTGCCGAAAGCTGAGCGGCCGAACTTACGATGCTTGTACGTGCAGGTTATCAGGTGACTCGTTCTTGTCCTTCTCCTGTTTGTGTAGCTTGAGGTCCTGATTATGAGCCTTTGGCTGTGTGCTCAAACCAGCGCTACACGACTGAGCAGTGACAGCCTGCAGGGGACTAAGGCAAATGTAAGAAGTGGTCGTAGCATTTTTCGTCCCACAGGATAGCCTTGCTAGGGCGTTCCTGTCGCTCAAGGAGAGCGCCGTCCCACCAAGAGCTTGGGCACTTTGGGTTCTTTTGTCACGGGAATCAGTATGGGGTTCCGGCGTAACTCTACCCTGACGGGTATTCCGATCCCGCTTCAAGCTCGTACACCACGACAAGGTAGAACCCATGTACGAGGGATCTCGCTTTACTGGCATAAAACGAGCAGATTCGGAGAAATCGTACAGTGAGGCTTCCGGGTCCTCGTTTGGGGTGTTCTCCATAATTTTTTGCCTTCTTCCCTTCAAAGAATGACTTAGCGACTAAGGGTTCGTAATTGAACGTCATTACCCAAGATATACAAATGCAGGGTTGTCGTTAAGTGTTATTGGTAGTGATCTTCATTTGTGAATCTGTGGCCGCTAGGTCGCTCTCCAGAAGTGGAAAAAATACACAAAACCATCGAGTACCTCTTAAACAGAGATTTGCTGACGCACAGTCTCATTGTATGAGTTTTCCTGACTTGCTATATGGTCTGCTGTTGATCGCTTTTGTGAAAGTATTTAGGGGAGCAGAACGTCTCATTAATATCAAAAATCAACACGCTAGCAGTCTCCGCGGCGACCACACGCCGCAGACAACATACGCGTTAATTAGGCGTGCAAGTCGTGGTAGTGCAGGCCATAAAGGCTGTATAGATGCACATCGGAAGTTCCTGAACCTTTTATCTCGCACTTTTGCGAGCCAAAAGTGGTACATGCTCTGCCCATGCGTTCCTAGCTACCGAATGCGCTGAGACATTCCACGTATCACTCGATCGCGGGAAGTGTTTTTGAAGAAGGAAACACTGACAAAAAAATTTTGAAGAATCTTCACTTTTGTGCCACTTTCATTTGTTGTCTGACCAGAAAACAAAAAGGATGAACGGTTTTTGGTATTGGTCGGTTGGTCCATTTTTCGGGATATGTCACAAATTCTACTTTCATTCAGGCACTTTGGCATTTTGAATGATATTCGATCAAAATGAGACTTCGAAGGCCTCCGATGTACAATAGTGTTCTATTCATCTTACTAGGGAAGGTCGTTAGGTCGAAGTGGCCATTTGTAAATGAGAATGTAGCTCCACCTATACTCGTGGTTTTGGACGCTGATCTCGAATCTGCCTTCGAAATTTGCAGAACGATTCTTTGAACGGAGTTATGGAGCTTTTTCCATCGCGTTTACCACGCAACAGGTCGTGGGATCGGATCCCTGCTGAGCTTAACTTTTTTGCAGCTGTGCAAACGTGGCCAACAAAGTTGCGCTTGTAGCGTCACTTACTACAATCTAGCCTCTCTCCTTGCACGGTTGCCTGAAAAACAGTTTGCGTTCGCTTACTGGCGCGCTTAGTGCCTTATGATTTAGGAGAATTTCTGGATGTACAGGTGCCCTTGGCGCGCAGTGCAGACGTTTTCGCGCTGAATGATGTGCCCATAGTTCGTGTTCTTTTGGCGGAACTACGGGCCTATGTAGAGGTTTCTAGCCAAATCTGGCATTTTGACCTGACTTCCATAAATGGACCATCCATGGGTTAGTTCAGTTGATGTACACACCTATTCAGATGCAGATACATTCTCCTGCACAAACCCTCGTCTTGCCACTTCTTACGCATTCATTTTGTTACTGCTTCAGTTTTCCTAATATTTGGATGCTTAGTTTTCCTAATATTTGGCAACGCCAACATTCCCGTCCAAAGAAACACCACGGCTCTCAACAAGAGATTAGCGCTCCGTGGATTTATGTAGCGCACCATCATTCGATCAGCTGCTACCGCACTTTTCAAGTTAGGTCAAAACCTCACATCTGGCTAGAAACCTGCCCCCAGGGGTAGTTTTGCTCCCTGAACACGA